TTTGTAGGATTTGTTCCCCTAATTGTTCTAATTAATCTTACATTTGATATCATTCTAAATTGGAACAACTTTCACAAAACCCAATTTCCCCCGGGATTAAGTGTTGTGATGTTGATGTAATGACTTTGTAGTAAAAAGGCTGTTTGGTGACGTTCCAACTGTGGCGAGCCGTCAGGGCTCTGATAGATATTCTACAAAATAATATAAAAAAAAATGTTTAAGTTATATTTTTCATTAGTTTTACCAAAATAACTTGATTTAATTGTATTTAAAATAACATTTCCAAATAAATAAATCCTTCGAATCTGCCTATTCAGTTTCTGTTTGAATGTGAAGGGTTAAATGAAAGAAGCTCGTCTCTGCGAGCTGATTGGACGTCCTGCTGTGAATTCACTGAGGGCCAGCTATAGTGACTGAACGAGAGAGTAACGTCAACTGACAGTACAATTGACCAATCATATCTTCCCTCTAAATGGGTGGGTTTTATTATCGCGGACTTTATGACAAGTTCCGCCCGCTGTGAATCTTTTCTTGTTTCCGTAGCAACAACAACTTCCAGTCAACAGCGTAAACTCACCTTCAAAATAAAAGCATGCCAAATTACACTTAAGACATACAACTGCAACGAAAGGAACAAACACAATGCAATATCCTTTTCAATTTCAAAGAACACAAATAGGGTTATTTACAGGTGTTGTTTTGTGTGGTAGAGGGTCGCTTTCATTGATGCGTTTTGCACCCCGGGCCGTTGTTTTGATATTCCGCTGAAGTATACGCTGTGACGTAATAACTCTTGACGTAAGGGGTGGGGGTCAGAGGGCCTAGGTATAAAAGTCACGGCTCGGCGCCACTGCGTTCCAACAGTCAAATATGTTGACAAACGTTGGAAATATAGCTATAAAACTCTTCAAACTGTTATTTTTGCTTGATTGACTGCCGAGTAGTTTGTGATTTTTAATGAATATGTGCCGACATTATTATTATTATTATTATTTAACTCAACACACAGCTGCGTCTCGGGACATTAAGGGCTGTAAAGCTTATGGCTTTTATTCACAAGTTCTCTTTTTTATTGAGATTATTTCGCATTTAACTGTCATTTTTCAACTGTTGTTTTCTCGTGAATACTTTCACACAAAACACGGTTCCATTTAAAAAAAATAAAAAGTTGTCAAGTAATCAAATCGAGAGTGAGTGTTGCTGCTTATTTGGTGAAGAAAAAGGAATAAAATGGCTTTAAAACATGTCTATAATTATAGATGAGTTACTTCACAGGGATTTTAATGAATAGCTAACCCTATTAAAAAAAAATCTGAGTTTTTGCACCATAAATAAAGTCAACCAATCAAGATGATTTATTGTGCAACTAAAAAAATGGCACGCCTGCCTTTTATTGTTTCCTGTTGGTGCAAAATAGCTGCATGACACATGGGTACAGTGTTAGTTAAACATAAAGGGGTTGTGTCACAACACATGCTTGATTAAAATCAGAAAGAAAGGGATTTTGGAGATTACCACATTCAAATCTTTGCGTGGCAGCAGACAGCAGATGTGGGCACACACACACACACACACACACACACACACACACACACAGAGATGTAAACACACACAAACATGCATTAAAAAACGCACACTGCACAGTTTCTCATGGAAACCAGTGTTTATAGGCAGCAAAGCAGAGAAACACTTATCCAACGCGATGATGTCATTTGGATAAGTTAGCTTCGAGGGTGTGTGTGTGTGTGTGTGTGTGCGTGTGTGTGTGTGTGTGTGTGTGTGTGTGTGTGTGTGTGTGTGTGTGTGCGATGGCCTATTCTTATTCGTGTGTGTGCATGTTAACTCAGCAGACATGTGGGTCCGTCTTTAATCAGAGACAGAGACAAATGCCTCGATATTTTACATTTTAATACGCTCTCTTCTCGGTGGTTTTGGTGTCTGCTTGTTGTGTGGTGAAGCTTTGAAACTGTCAACAAAAAAAGGGTTTCAGAGTAGAGGTTGGTCGAAGAGACATGAAAGAAAAGACAGAGAGAACGAGAGAGGACACTAAACAGATGTGACGGGTTGAAAGCAGGACTCCAACTTCAATGGAAGAGAGAAGAAAGGAGGGGAAAAAGCTGTAAAATCAATACATATTCACAATAACTATAAATCCAGTACATGTACACCCTTATAGGCGGAATCAGGTCTGCAGCCAAACACACATTTCTCTCCATCTTTGGCTTGTCTGCGTTTCATTTCTAACTCTTTTTTTTATTCTCTCCATCCATCAGTTCGTCCACCGGTTCCTCTAATAAAAGCCGTATGAGTGGAAAGCAGCGATACTCCCTACCCTCTCTGGTTCTGATGATTTCATGCGAGCCAACAGACCAAAGTGAATTTGGCTGAATTAACTCCTGTTGGATGTGATCTGCAGTTTCTCAGAGCAGAGTACGCAATGCTGTTCAGATTAAATGCTACTACATCCAACAGGGTTTTGTCAACAATAAGATGAACCATTTTAAGTTAGAAGGTTGTAATTAATCCCTACTCTGCATCTTGTAGTTTGGACGGTGAGAAAATGATCAGTTTAATGGAAAAACTGAGAGTCTAAAGGCATCACCGTTTGAGGAAGAAATCAAACGAGCTCCAGGGAATACCGATTACAACTGACTTAGTGAAGGACTAAATGGATTAATGTCATTTAAAGACATTCCTGTTTGGGCAGGCGTTTGGGTAACTTGTGTGCGTATTTTTTGACCAGCGTTTGTACTGTCTTAGGAAACTGTCCTATTTTAATGTTGACAAAACCATGATGATCATGTTTTATCGAGTCAATTCTGTCTTTTTCCTTAATGTCATGGTTTGGTAACCTGACTTTAAAGAGCAGAAACTCTCTGAGTCAGATCGTAAAGGGGTCCAGCAGACTGATTGGTGAGCCACAGCTACACCTGGAGACCCTGTCCCTCGGGCAGTTACAGCGGTTATCCAGCTGTCCCTGACACACCAAGCGGATTTCGGCCGTCGATAGATGTCGGGCCGTCGATGAGCGTCGTGTCGCCCTACTCAGATTGGTGTGTCCCGCACCGTTGTGTCTTTTCGGCCGTGCCGACACCTTCCGCCGCCGATTCGACAAGTTGAATTGGTTGGCTGTCGGTCAAATAAATCACTCTGATTGGCTGTTCAGCTAGCGAATCAGTGCATGAGAAGCGAAACGGAAGTCAGGGACCCAAACAAACTCAAGAAGGCAAATCTGAGACTTCATTGAACTCCAGCTCTCGACTCAGGTTCGGGAAAGCCCCGTGAGCTTCTCGCTGTAGAGTGAACATGGAACGCACACTCTATTTGTTGTTTGTATATATCACGCAGTCTGTCTTCCGGTTGTTGCCTCTTTTGAATGACGAATACACACTACCGCCGCCTGCTGGTACGGAGAGTTATTGCCACTCACGCATGCGCAGTTCGTACGTGCTACTTGGCCGTCGGCTGAAGTCTTTGCGGTGTGTTCCAGTGCGACACATGGCCAAGACGCAGAGACGCGAGAACTTTGGTGTTCTTTGGTGTCAGTTTGGTGTGCAAGGAGCTTTAGACGATGACTCCCACCCTCTGCACTCAGAGTTTTTCCTTCGGCCGGATGTTAGTCGTCCCAAAGAGTAGAAGGAAGCGGTATGAAAACAGTTTTATCCCAGCAGCTATTGCACAAATTAACACATCATAGGAGCGTCACACAGATGCCTATTTATTTATTTAATTATGAATGTCCATGTTTGTACGAGTGTTTTCCTTCTTAAATGAAATATTTTGAGATTTGACGGAGCAGGGTGTACTTTTTATTAGTCCTTTTATTAGAGATGTGTTTGTGTTTGTTTTTAGTGTCAGGATGGATCCCTCTGCAAACAAAATCTACCTACGGGTACAAATAAAGAACCTGAAGTGTTTTGCTGCTTATTTGAGAGCATTACAAATAGCTTTAATAAAGCATCGTCTTTGAGGTACTCCACAGTTATTATAACATAGAACTCAATCAATTATAGAGCTACATTTTCAACACAAGTTGTCCTCACGAATCCCGTTGATGGGACCAGATTTTGGACATTTTTAAATCAGACTTTCTATCAGAAACAGGGAATGAATGCTGCGTCAAATATGAAATGTCACTGACAAAGGGAAAGGAAGGAGGCGCTCTGTGGTTCACACTTCCACACACAGGATCTGCAACATTTACGAGCGATCAAATTCAGGTCTGGGAAACACGGCTGCAAACAGCGTAACGTTCGGAAAATGACCCCGACTCTTAGACGCTTTTTCCCTGACCTCGCCCTCATTACAATAATCCTCCCGACTCAACTTTCCGCCTCAGTTTCACCCCGCCTCAGAATCTCCTGGGTGCAGCAGACACACTGACTTACACAGACATAAAGAGAGACAAGATGCAAAAATGAAGAAATACCACATGTATGAAGACCCAGACTCTCACTGAGTTTGTGGGCAATAGAGTGGGGTCATCATCGGTACACACACACACACACACATCACTTCAGGGGACATTACATTGACTTACATGCATTTCCTGGAGACTTATCCTAACCACACACACACACACACACACACACACACACACACACACACACACACACACACACACACACACACACACACACACACACACACACACACACACACACACACACACACACACACACACACACACACACACACACACACACACACACACACACACACACACACACACACACACACCACACACACACACACACACACACACACACACCACACACAACACACACACCACACACACACACACACCACACACACACACACACACACACAACACACACACGTATAGAAACAAGAACAGACATGAAACCACACATAAAAAGAGCCACATAGAGATAAAAGGCTTTAGTTGAACCAGGGTTCATTGAAACACACACACACACACACCTGTTTACCTTCTACGACAAACACCTGTGCATAAACACACACACACACACACACACCTTTGATGGTGCTGATGACCGTGTCCAGGTGTTTGCTGTCGTTTCGGTCTGGTCGGCAGCTTGGGCTGATCTCCAGCGAGTAGTCGGGTCCGTACTCTGTAAAAAACTAGACATCACAGCGCTGCAATCAATATGACAACTTGTGGATTTATTTTGTATTCACAGCCACACTTTAATCCCACACATCTGCACACAGTCTGCAGCACAGTGCCAGAGAACACTCTCTACTCTGTCTCTTTTTTAAAGATCGCAGCTGCTTTACTGGAACATTTGGACTTTGAAGAGTTGGATTGTGAAACTGACTGGTAATGAATATTAACACAGGCTTTCAGGGATCCCTGTTTAAAGGAAAAGACTCCTGACACTGACCACCAATTGCCCTTTGTGGTTAAACATAAACCATATTCAGATGAGGCTTGTACTGATTGGCAATTGGATCAGATGTCCATGACTGAAGGGATGATTGAACCAACGATTGTTTTGAAGGCGATTTTGTTCTACCAGAACTAAGATGATATAAATATTATCTGTAGAATCTGCACACTGCCGTTTCATTTTTTCTTGAGGAGCGACACGATCACACTCTCAGCACGAGAACATTTTAAATCCATAACTACAGACGAGTTTGCCGTCTAAGACCCCACATTTTAGTTTTCCACATGCATGCCAACCCAAATGTTGCTTTGCGCTCCATATGAGAAGTTATCGTGATTTATATAATGTGGATTGTGATATTAAAGACGAGATTACGACGTTAACGACACACAGTGGCGAGCCGTGACTTTTATACCTAGGCCCTCTGCCCCCCCCCCCCCCCCTTCCCTCGAGAAAAAAGAAGAAGAGATATTACGTCACAGCGTATACTTCAGCGGAATATCAAAACTGCGGCCCGGGGTGCAAAACGCATCAATGACAGCGACCCTCTACCACACAAAACAACACCATTTATATTCACCTATCATGACAGGGCACCCACAGCCAAGTAACAATTACAAATGAATTAAGTCGGCACGGCGGCCCGCATTGAAAATGACTTAGGCCTACCTTTGATGATCAAATCACTTAAACACAAAGTCCATCCTCCTGTCCTTTTGGATGAAGCACTTGATGGCGGGGTCATGCAGCTGATCCTTTGCCACTCCAGTTTATCATTGTAACTCAATCTTGAAAATGACTCGGTTAATAATTTCGCAACGATCACTGAAGTGAGCCATCATGAACGAATTTATGCTAATTATAAATCTATCGATCATAAATCTATCGTTTAGATTTATGATTCGAAAATAATAAAAGTAGGGTAGACATGTGGATATTATCCGGCTGAACAAAACGTGCATTTATCTAACAGCTTCGTTTTCCACAGACCTTATTTCCAGCTATTTTCCAAAATCCTATGGAGAAATCCCACTGCTTTCTGTCGAGGGAATCCGAGCGCAGCTTACTTCCGGGTTATAGGACGCGTCACTGCACCACTTGCATAGACCTCACAGTGGGCGGAACTTGTCATAAAGTCCGCGAAAATAAAGCCCGCCCATTTAGAGGGAAGATATGATTGGTCAATTGTACTGTCATTTGACATTACTCTCTCATTGAGTTACTATAGCTGGCCCTCTGTGAATGTAGAGAGGGACCAACAAGCTCTCCCGTCTTCACAGTAACTCGCAGAGACGGCATTTAACCTTTCACATTCTAACAGAAACTGAGGATTTATTTCTTTGGAAATATTATTTTAAATACAATTAAATCAAGTTATTTTGGTAAAACTAATGAAAAATGTAACAACAAAAAAATATTGGAAAAAATATTGGAAAAAAAATGTTATTTTTTTTAATGTTTTCAAATATTATTTTTTAGAATATCTTAGGCCCTCACAGAGGGCCTAGAGGGCCCTGACGGCTCGCCACTGACGACACATGATGCTGTAATATAATCGCACCAATCACAGAACAAGCCATTGCTACTAAATTGTGTCTCAGTGGGTCAAAGTGTCCTTCAGCAAGATACTTGACCCCAAATAGCTCTTGTAGGCACGTAGTCTACGGTATTGAAGTGTTTGTAAGTCGCATTGGATAAAAGGGTCATCTCATGACATGTGAAAGACTTTTTTGTACGTCTAAATATGTAAAAGATAATATTTTAAAGACGTTTATCCATGTAACTGCGTGGCGTGGGAAAAAAATGAGGGGAAGCCAATAATACGTCCTTTCTTTTGGGTCGGGGGTGTGGTGGTCAATGTAATAACGTAACCAGATGAGTGATTACAGCACCCGGTATCATTTTACACACATTTGTATCAGATGCAGGACTTACACACGCCTGTTATCTAACCGACAGGTCCGCACGCACTCTCCAGCCCAAACTCTAATAAGCATTCATTCACAAACTAAATCAGGAGACCTTTAACGTTTTACGTCCGACTCGCTTCCTCGCTGTACACAGCTCCAGTTTAGGCATTGGCCTGTAATCAGATTGTATTTGTTGTTGCTGCTGTAGCGGAAGTTTAGTACAATTATTTTTGATTAAATACTCCACATCTCCACCCCCCATAATTGCACTTGCTTCAGTTGCTTGCTACTTTCAAACGGCGGTGAGAGTGGTGCAGTGGCGCTATCTATCTTCTATCGATTAGATTTATGATTCGAAAATTATAAAAGTAGGGTAGACATGTGGATATTATCCGACTGAACAAAACGTGCATTTATCTAACAGGTTCGTTTTCCACTGACCTTATTTCAAGCTATTTTCCTAAATCCTATGGAGAAATCCCATTGCCTTTTTGTCGAGGGAAACCGAGCGCAGCTTACTTCCGGATTTTAGGACGCGTCACTGCAACACTAAGTTGATGCGATTTGATTGGATTGTGAGCCAAGGGAAGCCAGAGGCGGCTGGCTTCCCTTGGCATGGCCCTGACCAATCACAGGTTGGCAGGGGCATCACGTGAGCCTCATCTGATTGGTCAATTCCTCCATTTTTTTTCACCAAGGGAAGCCAGATTCGGCTGGCCTCCTCTCGCAACAGAAAGTGCCATCTACTGTTTCACCATAACATGTAGAGGGGCGCTGTTTCACTCTTTGTAAAATACTCAATGAGAATGGCGGAGAGACGGGCCGGCAGCAACGCACAGCAAAGGAGAATTATCGAAACAAAACAAAGTGTTTTTATTTATTTATTTAAATTATAACTACAATCCGAAAAAACAGGGGAAGCCTGGCTTCCCTTGGCCTCCGGGAGAAAACGCCACTGGTAACTATAACTGTGTAGCTTGCAGAAAGCTTAAAGGTTTCGTTACTCCAAAGCTCTGTCAATATTATCCTCAAATACAAGATTTTCTTTGACACTAAGAGATGCGTAAACCACAAATGTGAACCTCAGAGTGGTGTTAAAGGAGAAGAGAAAGAATCACCAAAGTCATTGGGATTCATCACATTTCATGGCAATCTGTCCGATATTTATTGAGGCATTTCAGTCTGGATCAAGACTGAAATCACTCTCCCTAGAGATAGGACATAGAGTGGCTAACAGACAAACATCAGGGTGTTCAGATGGACATATGTTCCTTATATTTCCTGAACCCACTGCTGTCTAGGAGTCGCATTAACACAAACAAACGTATGAGACAGTCTGGTTCATGTACAGAGAGAAAATGTGACCAGATGAACCACAAATCAGTCAAACTCCAACTGGACAGCCTGGGCCTCACCAACAAGAAGGAGAAAAGAGGAACAGCCTGAGATGATTTCAGCACATACCGAAGGCTCCTGGCATTTCATGCAGAGTCGGACTGATTCCATGAAAACCAGCCAGTTTGAAAGAAAAAGAAGAAAAAAAAACAGGTGGAAATCCAGAGCGTGGGTTCAACGAGAAGTTAAAACCAGAGCGTGTCAACTGCAAAAGCATATTTCCAGGGAATTTGTTCGGCCGTGACTCCATGAGAGCAAAACAAACTCGCAGGCCAGGTTCTGACCACAAGTGCGTCAGTGTGTTCGCAGACACTGTTGTGAAAGCCTTGGACTCTGAAGAATCAGCAGAAGATACTCAACCAGCCTACAGCAATATTCCTCCATACATAGTACAATAGCCGCTTTCACACCAAGTACTTTGCCGTACTTAGTTCCCAGCACTTAGTTTACTGGCAGGCCGCAAACCACTTCACGGCGTATACTGCCACCCGAAGTCCCCGGAGTTGGGGACTGGCCGACACCTCCTCATCTCCACCGCTCCCATGTTTTTTTTTTGTTGCCATAAGTTAGTCTCTAGCCCCGCGCACCAACGGTGCGCGGGGCTAATGCTAATAATGCTAATGCCAGCAAATACAATGGCAATCAGAAATTGGAACTTATTTCTCCCCAGGAAAGTACCACCTCTCTAGCAGGCACTAACAATGGGGGGAAAAGTTCTCATGAACTAAGTTCTCTTTTTGGTGTGAACGCAAAATCCCAGGAACTATCGGAACTAAAAGAGAAAAGTACGGGGAAAAGTACGGGGAAAAGTACGGGGAAAAGTACTCCGGTGTGAAAGCGCCTAATGAGTATTTATCAGTTTCAAATCTGCTCTGCTAATGATTACGCTGTAAATTGAACATGACAGTTAATTCTTGACCTACCACATGCAATGAAATCTGCCTCGACTGCTCCAAAAAAAGCTAGAAAATGTAGCTTGAGTTGGACATCGTGCAAAATCTGAATCAGTATTACCTTTGTGGTTTTCTTTTGTGTTTTGAAAGTCTTAAAGGAACGGTACGCTATTTTTGCTGTGAGCGTTCGATAAATGGAAGTGTTCTCCAAATTTCAAATGTTTGTGCTAAGCTACTTGCTAAAGGAGATACATTTACTGTCAATAGAATAATACATGTACTTAAAGGTGGGGTAGGTAATTCACGTCGGAAACACTTGTTGTTATATTCCATGGAATGCTCTTAACATCCCGATAGCAATGAATACATGAAATGCTTTGACAATAAATACATACAAATATTTCATCTGTGGAAGCCGTAGTCCTGTAAAAAGCACGACCAATCATCTGAGCCGGCTAAAGTAACTGGATGGCCTACCTGCCTGTCAGCCTTCCATCTGGGCACAAACTTATCTCGTGCCCTCATTGGTCATG